AGAGAGAGAGAGAGAGAGAGTGGTGTGACCGTGCCAAATCAATAAAGGTGTTTTATGGGTGTGCAGTGAATATCCTAGATAGAGAAATTAAGAGAGTGGGTGGCCCTAGTAACGATGGCTAAAGCTTTATGAAAGGTTCAGCCATTTGGGTTTAGGGAGTTTGCCGCGTAGGTTTAAGTTGTCGTACCAAACCATAGGAGTAACAACTTTTGGGTGGTAACATCCTAAAAGAAGACTAGGTTTTTGTGTGTGGGTTACCTAGAGAGGGAAAGCTTGAGTAGGGTGTGATACTGAATGAGAACTGGTATGCGTATAGGCTACTAAAGAGAGAAAACAATTGGTTATTTAATGAGAAAATGAGAGAGAAATAATTAGTTTTAGAGTGAAAAGAATGGGTCGTAGCCACCTTGGCTCAAATGGGTCATAGCCACCTTGGCTCAATTGCTCACCACCATCTTGGCTTTGTTTCTCACCACTTTGGCTTCGTCCTGCCTTAGGTTTTCTTTGCTGCTCACCATCTCAGCCTCATTTTCCTCCTCTCCACTAGAGCCCCCACCATCTTGGCCCTCCTTATCTTTATTCCTCTATGCCTTTTATCATGTCACCTTGCCCCCTCCTTTTTTTTGGGTATCATCTAAACTTCATCGTCAAGGGCCTTCTTGTTGATTGTTGGGTTTTCTCACTCCACCAGCCATTCTTTTGTTGGATTGTCCTTGAGTATGTAATCCAGGTCAGTGATGTAAAAAGTGGCTCACCTATGCGCCTATGCGTGCCTTGGCGCATAGCCTAGGCCTAGGCGGCCCCTCTGAGTGGTGTATCCCTGGGCGGGCGCTCAATGCCAAGCCGTGGCATAGGGACTGCGCCCCCATCCAAGGGCAAAAGGACCCCTTGTAGAGGGGCATTTTCATCCTTTTCCCCCTTAAATAAGGGGGTAGGAAGGGGAGGGGTTTAGATTCTTGTGTGACATAAACCCCTTCTGTTACCTTTTGGAGTGAAATGTTTTTGAATAAAAACCTCTTTTTTTTAGATTTTTGTGAGATCGATGTAGTATTACAAAGTTTTTTAAATCGATCCAAACATCATCCTTTTGGTTTGAATTTTATTTTGTAGATGTTTTAAGCTTATTAGAAGGTTTTTAGGAAGCATTTGAGATTGGGAAACATCTCAAATATTAAAGATTGAAGATCGAGCAAAAAGGTTAGTTAAGAACCTTATATTTGATATTTTATTTGCTATTTCAATGTCTCGGGTTGGAAGTATAGTTATAACCCAAATCCGAGTGACAAAAATTGTAGGAGATATAATTGTTGCGAAAAGGATACTAATGGAGGAATAAACCGGTTCCACAAATACCTTATCAGTATTGGGGATTCGTAAAAATGTTCCTGAAGCTATTAGGGAGGAGATTAAGCAATATTTGAGTTTAATAAAACACAAAAAGGAACAAAAGGAGCCTTGTCATTTGGATATGTCTTCTTCATGGTCTTCTAAAAATGGCAGATGTATAGTTATAACTCGAATCCAAATGTTAAAAATTGTAGAAGGTGTAAGTTTTGTGAAAAAGATACTAATGGGGGTATTAACCAATTCAAGAAACACCTTACCGGTATTAAAGGGAATATTGCTTCTTGTAAAAAAGTTCCTAAAGCTAGTAGGGATGAGATTAGACAAAAAAAAGAAGAAAAGGAGCCTTGTAATAGGGAAATGTCTTCAACGGGTTCTTCTAGAAGTAGTGATCTAGGTTGGAAGTATGGTTATAAACCGAATATGAATGACGAAAATTGTATAAGGTGTAATTATTGTGGAAAGGATGCTAGTGAGGGTGTTTACCGGTTCAAGAAACACCTGCTGGTATTAAGGGGATGTTGCCCCTTGTAAAATGTTCTTGAAGCTACAAAGGAGGAGATTAAGCAATATTTAAGTTCAGTAAACATAAAAAGCAAGAAAAGGTGAAAATGCATCAGGTAGAGCAGCCAACACTCCTAAGGCCTTTAGATCATCTGCACAAAGCAAGAGGGGAGTAGAAGAAGAGGAGGAAAAGGCATATTCAAAAGAAACGGAGGAGGACGAGAATGAAGAGGGAGATGACTTTGATGATGATGGACTCGACTCCAATGCATATGATGAGGCTTACCCCAATTTTTCTAATGATGACTGAAGAATCTTGACTCTTGAGTCTTCAAGTGTATATTTTCTTTTTCCTATTTTCTAGTTTCTACTCTTATGTGTATGCTTGTATGATTGTATCATTGTATGGGACTATGGATTATGGAATGGTATGGGCCATAGTTGTTGGGTGCGGGTGCATGCCCAGGAGTGGGACTTGGCTCGGGTCTGCAGAACCATGGACTGCTGGAAGCTCCTTGTGGTTAGGATCGTCGTCCGTACGATCCTATATTAAGGGAGCACAATCCTTGTCATAGGGAAGCACGATTCCATGACTAAGGAATCGCAATAGTAAGTCTTAAAGCATCGCGAACAATGTGTGTTTCACAGTACCAATTGGCGCAAACCTGAATCTGCGCATATGAATCAATGTCGAATAGAGGAGAGGGAGCGGGGAAGGAAGAATAACCGTTTAACATCATATGCACTGCATCATGTGCTTGAGAACCGCGGTTCAAACCCTCTGGGAATGAGGATCGCAATGTAGGATCTGTGTGCCATCCAAGATACCTAGCTGGAATCGTGGGATCAAGGTTCTGGAGGGGGTCTGTAGCCTTTCCTGCAAGGTTCCAGCAGCTATAGTATCGACTATGGAGCATGGAGTATGGATTATGGATTGTGCTAGTAGTCTATTATAAATTTGCAAGGGTTTGTAACTTTGGATTATGGGGTTTTAAATTTTTTAAATATTTTATGATGTATTACTCATATTCCTCTGCCCCTCTTCTTCAACTAGGCTGCCAGAAATTTGGGCTCTCACCTAGGCGCTGGGCGGCCAGGATCTCATGACTGCCTAGGCCCCACCCAACAGGTTTTGGAACACTGATCCAATTGATAGGATCACAATCCTTGTTCTGCTTCCCTAGGTCTCTTCCAAATGTTTAAGTTGTAGTGCACATGGACTAGCTTGTGCATTTGCTTACTTAGTTTTCAACC